GGAAATAGGGGAGGGACGGTGGGGGGTGGGAAGCTGGGGAGGGATAGCAAGGGGAGAAATGCCAGATGTAGGTGATGGGGAGGAAGGCAGCAAATCACACTGCCATGTGTGTTCCTATGCAACAATTTTGCATGTTCTTCACATGTACCCCAAAACCTAAAATGCAATAAAATAAATAAATGGGGAAAAAAATAAATAAATAAATAAATAAAGACAATTTAATTAAAAAAAAAAAAGAATGGAAATCATAACAACCAGTCTCTCAGACCACAGTGCAATCAAATTAGAACTCAGGATTAAGAAACTCACTCAAAACCACACAACTACATGGAAACTAACAATCTGCTTCTGAATGACTACTGGGTAATGAAATTAAGGCAGAAATAAATAAGTTCTTTGAAACCAATGAGAACAAAGACATAACATACGAGAATCTCTGGGACACATTTAAAGCAGTATCTAGAGGGAAATTTATAGCACTAAATGCCCACAAGAGAAAGCAAGAAAGATCTAAAATCGACACCCTAACATCACACATAAAAGAACTAGAGAAGCAAGAGCAAACAAATTCAAAAGCTAGAAGAAGCCAAGAAATAACTAAGATTAGAGCACAGCTGAAGGAGATAGAGACATGAAAACCCCTTCAAAAAATCAGTGATTCCAGAAGTTGTTTTTTTTTAAAAAAGATCAACAAAATAGATAGAGTGCTAGCCAGACTAATAAAGAAGAAAATAGAGAAGAATCAAATGGACACAATGAAAATTATAAAGGGGAGATCACCGCTGATTCCACAGGAATACAAACTACCATCAGAGAATACTGTAAACAACTCTATGCAAATAAACTAGAAAATCTAGAAGAAACGGATAAATTCCTGGACACATACATCCCCCCCAAGGCTAAACCAGGAGGAAGTCAAATCCCTGAATAGACCAACAACAAGTTCTGAAATTGAGGCATACCAACCAAAAAAGTCCAGGGCCAGAAGGGTTCACAGCTGAATTCCACCAGAGGTACAAAGAGGAGCTGACACCATTCCTTCTGAAAGTATTGCAAATGAAAGAAAAACAGGGACTTCTCCCTAACTCATTTTATGAAGCCAGCAGCATCCTGATACCAAAGCCAGGAAGACACACAACAACAACAAAAAAGAAAATTTTAGGCCAATATCCATGATGAACATTGATGAAAAAATCCTTAATAAAATACTGGCAAACCGAATCCAGGAGCACATCAAAAAGCTTCATCATGATCAAGTCGGCTTGATCCACGGGATGCAAGACAGGTTCAACATATATGGATCAATAAATGTAATCCATCACATAAACGTAATCAATGAAAAAAATCATATAATTATCTCAATAGATGCAGAAAAGTTCTTCGACAAAATTCAACAGCCCTTCATGCTAAAAACTCTTGATAAACTTGGTATCAATGGAACATATCTCAAGATAATAAGAGCTATTTATGACAAACCCACAGCCAATACCATACTGAATGGTCAAAAACTGAAAGTACTTCCTTTGAAAACTGGCACAAGAAGAGGATGCCCTCTCTCACTACTTCTATTAAACACAGTATGGAAGTTCTGGCCAGAGCAATCAGGAAAGAAAAAAAAATAAAGGGTATTCAAATAGAAAGAGAGGAAATCAAATTGTCTCTGTTTGCAGATGACATAATTCTATACATTGAAAACCCCATCATCTCAGCCCAAAACCTTCTTAAGTTGATAAGCAACTTCAGCAAAGTCTCAGGATACAAAATCAATGTGCAAAAGTTGCAGGCATTCCTATACACCAGTAACAGACAAACAGAGAGCCAAATTACGAGAGAACTCCCAATCACAATTGCTACCAAGAGAATAAAATACCTAGGAATACAATTTACAAGGGAAGTGAAGAATCTCTTCAAGGAGAACTACAAACCACTGCTCAAGGAAACAAGAGAGGACACAAACAGATGGAAAAACATTCCATGCTCATGGATACGAAGAATCAATATCATGAAAATGGCCATACTGCCAAGAGTAATTTATAGATTCAATGCTATCCCCATCAAGCTACCATTGACTTTCTTCACAGAATTAGAAAAAACTACTTTAAATTTTATATGTAACCAAAAAAGAGCCAGTATAGCCAAGACAGTCCTAAGCAAAAAGAACAAAGCTGGAGGCATCACGTTACCTGACTTCATGCTATACAAGTCTACAGTAATCAAAACAGCATGGTACCAGTACCAAAACAAATATATATCAATGGAACAGAACAGAGGCCTCAGAAATAACACCACACATCTACAACCATCTGATCTTTGACAAACCTGACAAAAACAAGCAATGGAGAAAGGATTCCCTATTTAATAAATGGTGTTTGAAAAACTGGCTAGCCATATGCAGGAAACTGAAACTGGACCCCTTCCTTACACCTTATACAAAAATTAACTCAAGATGGATTAAAGACTTAGACGTAAAACCTAAAACCATAAAAACCCTGGAAGAAAACCTAGACAATACCATTCAGGACATAGACATGGACAAAGTCTTCACGACTAAAACACCAAAAGCAATGCCAAAAAAAGCCAAAATTGACAAATAGGATCTAATTAAACTAAAGAGCACAGCAAAAGTAACTATCATCAGAGTGCACAGGAAACCTATAGAATGGGAGAAAAATTTTGCAATCTATCCATCTGACAAAGGGCTAATATCCAGAATCTACAAAGACCTTAAACAAATTTATAAGAAAAAAAAAAATCAAAATGTAGGCAAATGATATGAATAGACATTTCTCCAAAGGAGACATTTATGCAGCCAACAAACATGAAAAAATACTCATCATCACTGGTCATTACAGAAATGTAAATAAAAACTGCAATGAGATACCATCTCACACCAGTTAGAATGGCAATTGTTAAAAAGTCAGGAAACAACAGATGCTGGAGAGGATGTGGAGAAATAGCAATGCTTTTACACTGTTGGTGGGAGTGTAAAGCAGTTCAACTATTGTGGAAGACAGTGTGGTGATTCCTCAAGGATCTAGAGCCAGAAGTGCCATTTGATCCAACAATCCCATTACAGGGTATATACTCAAAGGATTATAAATCATTCTACTATAAAGGCACATGTATACGTATGTTTACTGCAGCACTATTCACAATAGCAAAGACTTGGAACCAACCCAAATACCCATCAATAATAGACTGGATAAAGAAAATGTGGCACATATACACCATGGAATACTATGCAGCCATAAAAAAGGATGACTTCATGTCCTTTGCAGGAACATGGATGAAGCTGGAAACCATCATTCTCACCAAACTAACACAGGAACAGAAAACCAAACACCGCAATGTCTCACTCATAAGCGGGAGTTGAACAATGAGAACACATGGACACAGGAAGGGGCACATCACACATCAGGGCCTATCGGGGGCTGGGGGATTAAGGGAGGAATAGCATTAGGAGAAATATTTAATGTAGATGACAGGTTCAAGGGTGCAGTAAACCACCATGGCATGTGTATACCTATGTAACAAACCTGCACATTCTGCACATGTACCGCAGAACTTAAAGTATAATAATGATAATAAATCAGAAGAAAGCAAAAAAAATAAAAAGTAAAATTAAAAAAAAAATCAAACCCACTTGTAACTGCTGCTAATTGGAGTATATATATTAGGGCAACTTGGATCTATAATCCCAGGTTGTAATCCCCAAGGTTGGCCCAAAGGAACTCTCTGCTTACATTAAGTTTGTTTGAGCTTCTTCCTTGTAGGTCAACAGCTTAATGTTTAATGTTTGAAAGCAATGAGAAGTTCAGAAATCGTATTACCAGGCCTGGGCGCAGTGGCTCATGCCTGTAATACCAGCACTGTGGGAGGGTGAGGTGAGCAGGTCGCCTGAGGTCAGGAGTTCAAGACCAGCCTGGCCAACATGGTGAAACCTGGTCTCTACTAAAAAAAATATAAAAATTAGCTGGGCGCAGTGGCAGAAGCCTGTAATCCCAACTACTCGGGAGGCTAAGGCAGATGAATTACTTGAACCTGGGAGGCGGAGGTTGCAGTGAGCCAAGATCACGCCATTGCACTCCAGCCTGGGTGGCAAGAGTGAAACTCTGTCTCAAAAAAAAAAAAAAAGAAAGAAAGAAAGAAATAGTAATATCAGCATTAAAAATTAAGAGAACCTCATAGTTCAGATTGGTTCTCCTTTGTCCCTCCTTGGGAAGTATAAACCATTTTGCTGATAAAATGTTGGTGACTTACAGAAATTGAAAATATAGCCAAAATTAAATCACACCCAGATTTCGGAATTTAAACTCCCAGTAGCCTGAGCTGCTTGCCAGATACATTTCCACAGAGTAGATGGAATTCAACTGCATCTTCTCACCTGCCTCCTTTTCTCCTGAATTCCTTCTCTTTCTCAAATCTTCCTACTTTTACTCCCCACTATTTCATTCATTAATGATTTTCCAAAAACAGTCTCCTAATTTACCTCGGAAAATAACAAGAGATAACATGTGGTCTGTGTTATCAGTGCACTATTCCCCCCTTCTGTGTCATTATTGGTGGCTCAGCTTCAAAAGTGAAACTTTATTGCCCTCTAGGTTTCTTTTCTGACTCTCCTCTTGTTCCTTGGCTATTCATGGAGGTTCATTTCCCTACTGTAACTTACTCCAGAGAGCAGACACATTAAATCCAAGGGACCTTGGACAGCCATGTGTAAGTCAGGGCATTGGCGTTATTGCCAGAACAGCATCTACTGACTCTTGTTCTACAATTCAGAGATGACAGGATCCAGTGTTTGGAGTTACAACAGTACAAGCAAATAATCTTCACCACATTTCCAAATGGATATAGAGTCAGCTTTCAAAAATGCTTACCAAAACTACTGAATACTGCTACTAAAGTGGCTTTCAAATAGCAATGCAATTTACATTTGGGATAATGAGTTAAACACAAAAGAGAAAAATACAGCTGAAATTACAAGGGCCAAGCTACTTTACCAAAGCACAGTTATCGATGTCTTGATCCCTCTTCTGCATCTGTTCTATTGTGTTCTCCCACTGTTTAATGAGTTCTTGTCTTTCATTATGAATCTTACGAAAATCTTGCGCTGCTTTATCCAATTCTAACTGTCAAACAGAGAGCAAACAACATTTCTGTGAATTTAAGTGGTTTCGCAAACAGCACCTTTAAAATTAGGAAATAAAAATCTTCCTTAAACTAACCTGTGCACTTATAGTCTCTGTAAGTTCATTGTCAAGTATCTTTCTTTTCTGATTACGTTCCAAAGTTAGTCTCTCTAATTGCAGAGTCAGTGCCTATGACGTGATAACATACAAGGATATTTATAATTCTCATCAATTAATTTGAAAGTTATTAGTAGATCTAACATTAAATAGTATTACACTCTACATATACATTTATTTAGTATCTAAAACAACTATGAAATAATAAATATCTTCCTTATCTTTTAACCCCCAAAAGCTAATCTAATGTGTTTGCCTACAGCAGCATAAAAACCTCAATTGTTTCTAAAATGACTTTTAATACTTTTAAAGTAAATTAGAAAAAGATTAAGTTAAAATTTGCTATTTGAAAGTTTTAAGATGATGGATTTGTTATTAAATCTACTAGAAAATAACGTTTCATAATACCAACTTTAGTGTTACCAGATATAAGTAGATTTTAAGTGATTCTTACAATCAATAGCAACAGTCTCAAATCAGCAAAAGCTACATGTAATATTCAAACTACATTTTAGGCAAAATAGCCAAAACATATTAAAATAGTTCAGTAGAAAACTTTCTCTTCTGAAACACTTCTGAGCATCCTTATAAATCAGGGTATTTTTAACCTGTGGTCCATGGATTCTCAAATAATCTGAGCAAATCAGAGAATCTGTAAAACAGTCAGCAGTATTTTATGGGTTTTTGAATATAGTCATTTTTTTCTACAGAGAAGACATTTGGCTTTATTAGTTTCTCCAAGAAGCTTCTGACTCAGAAGTTTAAGAATTGCTGCCTTAAAAATCATAAACACAACTTTAGGTAAACAGGTTGGCATACTACAGATTTAGAGAAAACCTAAGAGTTACAGTTTGTAATTCCTCACCCTGATTTTATTATCATCTTGTTGTGCATACTTCTGAAGCGTGAGTGCATCACTATCTCTATGAGCTGATTCTTCCAACCAGGCCTCCAGTGCCTGCTGGTCCCAGTTCATCTGGCATTTCAAACCATCCAGTTTTTGAGTGGCTTTAAATATGCCATTCTAATTTCCAGAGAGAGAGAGAGAAGGGGAGATTTCAAATCATTACTTACTATACAAACTGAAATAAAACATACCTTTATATACTATGGAGCATAATTTAAAAAGAAGAAATCCTGTCCCTGCCTTCCAGATGTTTATAATATGCCGTATTTTAATTATATAACTATTACACTTACGTCTTAATTCTTTCATTGAAAAACAGAGGAGAGATGACTAGACAAAGTCAAGAACAGTAGCTGAGCCAGAGTCTGCTTTAAAAAGCTTTAGGCTTTAAGGTAGCTCCCTCACGGCAATTGCATTCATCATTCCACCAAAGCCACCCCACACACACATGCAATCAAAGTTAAAATAATACGTATGGTACGCTAACTCAAATCCAAGACAAGTGTCCTTCAGCCCCATTTCCAATTATATCGTTTGCCCCTAAGAAGACTCTTAGAGACCAATTTTGGACGCACTTCTAACTGAAGTAACTAAAGTAAAAGAGATAAAAACATTTCTGTACATTTAGTCATTTAAAAAATTTAGACTCATAAAGAAACAGAGGCTACATAAACAAATTAGTATGTAATTATACACAAATACATCACAGAATATGTATGTGTATGTATACGTATATATGTATATGTATCTGATATGTATATGCACACGTAAAGAGAAGAATCAGAATTTGGAAAGAGGTCCCAAATCAATGAACTATAAACTAAAGAAAAGAGAGTAATAGGTTAAAGTAGTTTAATGTTGGAGTCACAAAACTGATAAATCAATATGAAAAGTCAACACTTCAAATGAAATTCAAAACTAAAACTGATTGTTTTTAATGTGGCCGTTAAAAATACAACACATATAAACCATGGCTAGTATTTTACAACAGGTAAGAAGCATGATACTTTGCAAACAAGCCTCAATAAGTAGCTGGTGAATGAATAATGGGGAAGCTGTAATATTCTACTATTGTTTCATTCAAATGACAGCTCCATGTGCCTTTCATGGTCCGAAACATATGTAAATAAACACTAGGAAACTAATGTATGCCTTTCCCATACAGGAAAAAAAAAAGTCAATGCTCATTTGGTGACAGAGGAATAAGCAGAAGAATTCTGAGTAATTTAAGTAAGTAATAGAATTTTAAGTAATATTTCAACAGATACTTCTTTGTCAGTTTTCTTTTCCAGTATTGAGGCCATCTCATTTTCCAGACATCGAATTTCTTCTTTCACTCGTCCTAGTTCTCTTTGCGCAATGGCCTTAAAATGTTCTTCGCTTTCAGTCTCACGCTCCCTCGCTTTGCAAAAAGACTGCAGAGTAACATACAAGATAAAAAGGCTTTTAAAATTTCAGAAATTTTTAATTAAAATATTTATAATAATCCATTAGATTAAAACAAAATAAACTGCTTACATTAAGTATTATTAATTCCACTACTCTAAAACCTACATTACATTAGACTAAGTGGCTCACTAGTTGTAAGAAAGTCAAACTGTTCTAGGAGAAAATACTGTCAATAGTTTTCAGATGCTATGATGATCTAGGAAAACCAAAGCTTTGGTTACACTTAAAACTTATTATCTATAAATAAGAAATATCAATTAACAAATAATTAAGAAATGAGATATTTTACATGAATTGATCACATATTCCAATTAACAGACTCGCATTCCAATTAACAATATTTTAAAATAATTATTTAAACACCAATGGCTGTAAATATTCCCTAGAATATATTAGCATATAATCATGCTTTTGTGTTCAGTGTTATGTAATAAAAGAGTATGTGTTAACTAATTTTAAAGGGCTTCAAAGTTGTCACTTAGTATTAACTTTACAGTATTAAAGCTGCCATTGTTGGGCGTTTACTATTCTTTCGTCTCTGTTACTCTATTTATTTGAGGTTTGATGATAATAAGATATAACCACAGAGTCTCTGCCTCTCAAATCCCCAGCTCAGTACTTTAATAACTTAAGGAAATGTGTCATTTCAAATAGTTTATCAGTTACTCAATCACACTGAGAGTCAAGAATTCTGAGTTTGCTTTTAAGTTTATTAAATTTGTAAATTTCCAATAGGATTTGTAAGCAATGAAATGCTTACTTGTCTATATATATATTTATTATAAATTGCTTTTTAAAATATGACACTGTTCATTTTTTGAAACTGCATACTATTTCTCAGACAGTAGATGCATTTAAAAAAAAAAAAAAAAAAAACTAGCTTGAGACAGAAGTTAGAAAACTTTCCAATGCTGTTTGCTGAGCTGCCTGGTTTGCGGGGCATCATTAGGGAGTGAGTTTCTATACTTAGACAGATTTATAAAACAGAAGCTTATTTAATCACTCCAAGTGTTAACTTTTATTATATTTATGCTAACATTTCTAAGATGCCTTATGTTTTCCAGTTACCTAAATAAAGTCTTAAGTATAATTGAACTTTTTAATCTCAGGATTATTACAAATTTCAATTCTTGAACTATGCTAAAATGCTTATATGTGTAGACTACTGGCTTCCACTCAAAATGGCCCTAGTGAGTTCTGCTGAAAAATTAAAAAGGAGACAGAAATTTTATTATGTATTATATTAGGCCATTATTTCTCACCACCATCACTGTGCCCTTCTCAAATAACCTGCTGTCTAATACAGATGGTTTGAATAATGATTTCTTCTTTCATATAGATTGATTTTTTGTTTAAAATTAGAGCAGTAGTTAGTTCCTCTAAGCCTTTTTCTATCGACTTTCATGTTCAAAGCTTTGTTCACAAGTTTAATTATGTTAAAGTTTCCTATTATAACTGTAAAAATCACAGACGTAAATAACACTGAGATGTTCCATGAATACACATAACATAATCAACATAAATTTCAGTTACTGTACCTGTGTAATTGAGAGCTCTTGTTTAACGTTTTTGAAGTGAGAAGTCATAGAATTAATTCGCTCTTCATAATCACGTAACTGACCTTGCAAGCTTGTTCTTTCATTCTTCAGCTTTGACAACTGTACATAATAAATGCTACAATTAACCAAAGTCCTATTAAGTTTTACCATATGAAGGACCCAAAGTCAAAGAAAATTAAACTTTCATTCACTTTGTGTCTTAGTCAATTTGGGCTAACACAAAAATATCATAGACTAGGTAGATTAAACAAAATGTAATTTGATTCATGAGAAATTCCTCACAGTTCTGAAGGCTAGGAAGTCCAAGATCATGGTGCCAACTAATGTTTTTACTGGTGAGGGCTCTCTTTCTGATTTGCAGACAGATGCTTTCCTGGTGTGTCTTCACATGGCAGAGAGAGATCATCTCTCTCTTGTCTCTTTTTAAAAGGACATCATTGGCCGGGCGCAGTGGCTCACGCCTGTAATCCCAGCACTTTGGGAGGCCGAGGCGGGTGGATCACGAGGTCAAGAGGTCGAGACCATCCTGGTCAACATGGTGAAACCCCATCTCTACTAAAAATACAAAAAATTAGCTGGGCTTGGTGGTGCGTGCCTGTAATCCCAGCTACTCAGGAGGCTGAGGCAGGAGAACTGCCTGAACCCAGGAGGTGGAGGTTGCAGTGAGCCGAGATCGTGCCATTGCACTCCAGCCTGGGTAACAAGAGCGAAACTCCGTCTCAAAAAATAAAAAAGGACATCATTTTTTATTTTATTTAATTTATTTATTTATTGCATTTTAGGTTTTGGGGTACATGTGAAAAACATGTAAGAAAAATAAAATAAAAAATAAAACAGTCAAAAAAAAAAGAAAAATTGTGCCCAGCACCCTACATACCCTAGCGGCAGCCCAGCTTGCAGCAAATCCAGGTATGGGCAATGTTTTCAAATAAGTTAGATTCATTTTCATTTTGGTCTCTTCCCTGGATTATTGATTACAGATTATTAAATATTTTTGGCTTATTATTGCCAAAAAAAAAAGAGCACCAACACCATTCATGAGGGTTCTACCTCTATGACCTATTTACTTCTCAAAGACTTCACCTCCAAATACCATCACATTGAGGATTGAGACCACCATATGAATTTCCGGAGGACACAAACAATCAGAACAGAGCACTTTGTTTCTTTAAATGTTCACATGAACTTCTAAAATCTACTAATTCTTTAGTAAAAAATAGTGTGATTTGGTGATGACAGTGGGGAAAATCAGCACCATATTACACGGAATAGAAATCTCTCTTATATTTACTTTTTGTCTTAATGATTGAATTAAAAAAGCATTTAAAGCTATATGTTTTCATTAAATAAAATTTTTGCGGTTTCCCATGGATCTGGAGCATGAAGCTGTCCCTTTTTATTGTTTTCTAAAAGGTAACTTTTCCTTTTCAATTTACTTTTTATATAAGGGCCACCTAGGAATATTTCTCAGAAACATGCCTAAGTATTTAATATGGAGGATCATTTAAAATTATTTAATAAATAATTTTTAAAAATAATTTTTCAATATTATAAATTCTATTGGCTTATTATCAGATAATGTGACCTATAAAATGTCTGTCTGCATAGCATTTTAGGGATTATAATTTTTTAATGTTGGTCAAATATTCAAGAACATAAAATTTTCCATTTTAACCATTGCTATGTCAAAGTTCAGTGGCATTAAGTACGTTCACATACAACCATCACCACTAATCCACCTACAGAACATTTTCATCTTCCCTGAGCCTCTACACACATAAAGCACTAACTCCCCATTCCCCGCTCCTCTCAGCCCCTGGCAACCACCATTCTACTTTCCATCCTTATGAATTTGACTACTACTCTAGGTTCCTCATATAAGTGCAATCATGCAATATTTGGCCTTTTGTTTCTGGCTTATTCACTTAGCATAATGCTTTCAAGTTTCACCGTTCACTTTTAATGCATTAAGATTTTTGTTTTGGTCTAGTACATGATCCACTCTTGTAAATGTTTTATGGGCACCTTTTAAGGTGTATGTTCTCTATTCAAGAGATAGATGTCTCTGTGTGTTTATTTTTATTACCACATCTCTTGTATTCTTATTTTTGTCTAGTAGAGTTGTCTAATTCTGAGGCACAACTGAATGAAACAGCTCACTGTAACTGTAATTTTGTCAAAGTCTACTTGCATTTATAATAGCTCTTGCATTTATGTAATTAGCTGTTGTGTTTGGTGCATACAGCTTTATGACTTTTATTTGCTTCATCCATTATGCCATTTATAATTGTATAATGGCCCCAGAGCAAACTTCTGACTTTTGAATGAAAGCATAATAATTAACTCCCCAAGTTGAAAAGCCCTTCCGCACAGAGTTACCAAAAAACATTTTATAGCTTCTTTCTTAAATATACAGGAGCATGTAGCAATAAATATCACCAGATATTTATTGAAAACTTACATCATGTGAAGGATGCCAAAATAAACAAATAAGATCTCAGAAGAAACACATAATTCAGGACAAAAAAGAACTAAACACATACACATTACACACACACACACACACACACACACACACAATCAGATTGGAGAAAATATTTTACCCCTAAAAGGCAGCCATGGTGCTATAAAAAAGCAACAAACAGAACTTGAAGATATAGCTCATCAATATAGTTCCCAAATAAAACATGTAAGGGAAAGATAGAACCCTAAATACCCTCAGATTTTTTTTTTTAAGGTAAACTACAAAGAAACAGAAATCACACTAGTCAGATTACTCACTGAAACACGGCTGGAAGATAATTGATACATTCCAAACTCTGAAGTAAAATTATTTTCAACTTAAGAGTCTTCTACCCAGCCAAACCACCAAATGTGAGTATAAATAAAGATATTTTCAGACATCCAAAGATGCAGTGTTTCTGAATACAGCCTTCTCAGGGAGACACAAGAAACTATTCCATCACAGCAAGAGAATAACACAGACTTCATTTTGTTGCACTTCACTTGATTGTGCTTCTCCAACAGCACATTTCTAACAGAGTGAAGGTTTGCAGCAAGCCTGTGTCTGGCAAGCCTGTCAGCACAGCTTTCCCAACGGCAGGTGCTTATTTGGCGTCTCTGTGTCCCATTTTGGTACTTCTTACAATATTCAAAACTTTTTCATTATGATGATATCTGTTATAGTTATCAGTGATGTCTGATGTTACTATTGTAATTGCTTGGGGTGCCACAAACTGTGCCCCATAAGACAATGAACTTAACCGAAAAATGCTGTGTGTGTTCTGACTGTGCCACTGATCAGGCGTTACCTCATCTCTCTCCCTCTTTTTGGGCTTCTCTATTCCTTGAAACACATATTGAAATGAGGATGATTAATAACGTTACAATGGCATCTATGTGTAGAAATCAAAAGCTAGAAATAATGGAGGCCAAAAGTTGACATAGGCCAAAAACTAGGCCTCCTGCATCAAACAGTTAACCAACTTGTGAATATGAAGGAAATGTTCTTGAAGGAAATTAAAAGTGCTACTCCCTTGAACACACAAATGCTAAGAAAGCAAAATAGCCTTATTGCTGATATAGAGAAAGTGAGGTAGGAGGTGAGTCTAGACTCCAGAGGCAAGACTCAGACAGCAGACCAAATTGAGGACTAGCTAAAACAGAGAGGAGGCAGAAGCAGCTTTCTATAAGACGTGCTCACCAGTACGCCATGTTAGTTCACCTCTGCCATGGGCAACATCCAGAAGTTATTACCCCTTGAGCTGGGCGCAGTAGCTCATGCCTGTAATCCCAGCATGTTGGGAGGCCGAGGCGGGCAGATCACTTGAGGCCAGGAGTTCAAGACCAGCTTTGCCAACATGGCAAAACCCATCTCTACTAAAAATACAAAAATTAGCCCGGCATGGTGGCACACAACTGTAGTCCCAGCTACTCGGCAGGCTCAAGTAGGAGGATCACTTGAGCCTGAAAGGCAGAGGTTGCAGTGAGTTGAGATCATGCCACTGGACTCTAGCCTGAGCAATAAAATGAGACCCTGTCTCAAAAACCAAAACAAACAAATGAAAAAAACAGGGAGTCTTCCAGACTTGGGGTCTTCAGATATGCTGGTCTCTCTTCCCAGAACATTTTCCTTCCCTAATGGCTAGTTCCTTATTATTCTTCAGGGCCTCATATTCTTCAGTTTGTATATGTTTAGAGAGGCCTTCCCTGCCCATTTAATTCAATATAGCTTTTCCCAGTTATTTTCTCTCATGGCAACTTTTCACATTTAGTAATTACCTTCAAACAACTTACCACAAGTAGTAATTATGTTTTTATTTGCTTGTTTATTTTCTATCTTTGCTACTAGATTATAAGATGCATGATAACAGGAAACATATGCATTTTGAAAAATGTTTTGCCTAAGCTTAGTGGCAAGAAGCATATGCATTTTGTTCACACTATATTCAGAATCTAGAGTAATGCCTGGAACATAATAGTGCTCACTAAAAATCCATAAAGAGAACAGATATGACAAGAGTTTTACATTTGTATGTAGCTATACCTGTCCGTCTTTTCTTTGGTGATTTTTATGTTTTGTGCTACACTGAGGAAGGCCTTTCCCAGAAGATTATTTTAAAAGTATTACTGGGTATATATCTAAAGGATTATAAATCATTCTATTAAAAAGACACAGGTACATGTATGTTCACTGCAGCACTGTTTACAATAGCAAAGACCTGGAACCAACCCAAATGCCCATCAATGATAGACTGGACAAGGAAAATGTGGCACATATACACCATGGAATCCTATGCAGCCATAAAAAAATGATGAGTTTGTGTCCTTTGTAGGAACATGGATGAATCTGGAAACCATCATTCTCAGCAAACTGACACAAGAACAGAAAATCAAACACCACATGTTCTCACTCATAGGCGGGTGTTGAACAATGAGAATGCATGGACACAGGGAGGGGAGCATCACACACTGGGGTCTGTTGGGGGGGAATAAGGAAGGGACAGTGGCGGGTACGGAGGTTGGGCAGGGATAACGTGGGGAGAAATGCCAGACATAGGTGACAGGGGGATGGAGGCAACAAACCACATTGCCATGTA